ACAATTTTATATAAGCAGAGGACTGAGTCTATCTTCTGTGAAGCTCTGGGTGGACTCAAACCACCAATGTTTATGTTAGGAGATGATCATAAACTACCGGTAGCACTCAGGGTCCTCCAGAAGTCAGAAGAAGGGCAAACACTGGGTCAGCATCTGGCCACTCCAAGCTGAAGTTGTCCTAGGAATTGAGGGCCCCTACTTAGACCTGACCGATAAAAAAATCCTTGACTCTTCACCATAGATTTCTGAATACAGTAGCTACTCTTTAGTCTCTATCCCTCAGAAAACTAAGAACTCACTGCAGTAGGCACACAATATTTGTTTACTTATTTTTATGGCTAATTCCATTTGTTAAACATAAACAAGAAACTAAAAATACATCTTCTAGATGCTTACCTAATGGCTCCATTTTTTTTACAAACAAAACTAAGCTGTGGTGTGCAAATGCTTCCCTAGTCTCATGATCAGCAACATACCTTGAGGTCAAAATGGGCGATCTGAAGGGAGTGAAGATAGTAAACACCACTGAGAATTTGTTTGAGAAATTCAGTTGCTTCTTCTTCGGTCAAAGATTCCTTTTCAGCTAAGAAGTCAAATAGCTCACCACCTGCAACACTGAGAATCAGGAAGCCAAGGTTACATATGACAATTGTTGTATTCTGATCTGCTTTTTCATGGACTATTGGAGTCTCTAGACTCCAGGCAAGAAAATGCCAGAAGAAAGAAAAAACAGCTTTGCTGATTCAGCAAAGCTCTAAGTCAGTGTACCCAGGAGCTCAGCACAAAGGTGCATTTGTGCTTCCAAGCACTTGGCCATCTTTTTTTAATGTCTCTGCTCAAAAATGAGGACAAGAAGCAGAGAGATGAGGGGGGAAAGCAATGATTATTTAGAGTATATTCATGAAACCTCTTTAAAAGGACAACCTTAACTCACTTGTGAAAACAAATCAACAACAGAAAAAGTCAACTGTGTGTATGATTTATGAAGATTTATATTCTTGCACCTATAAGAAAGCCCTGGTGCTAAGAAGCTGTGCTGCAATCCCAAAGGCTTGCAGTCCAATCACGAGCTGCTCTGTGGGAGAAGGGTAAACTATCTCTTCTCCTGTGATTTACTGCCTCTAAAAACCTGCTTTCAAAAGGCAGCCCGGGATGACAAAGTAAAATATTACAATGAAATGTGCAAGGAGTCAGAAAAGCAAAAGGTTCGAACTCGCTCAGCATTTCTTAAGCTCAAGGAAGTGGAGAACAAATTCAAACCTCGAGTTGCTATAATAAAGGATGCTTTAGTAAGAGTACTAAATGATCCAGCAGGTATCAAAAGAAGATGGAAAGAATATACTGAGTCACTGTATCAAAAGGAATTGGCAGACACAGAAGAATTTCATGAAACAACATATGAGCAAGAGCCTATGGTGATGAAGGAAGAATTTCAAGCTTCTTTGAAAGAAATAGCAAAAAATAAGGCCCCAGGAATAGATGGTATACCAATTGACGTATTTTAGCTAACAGATGCTGCCCTGTATGTGCTCACGAAGTGTCAAGAAATCTGAAGAAAAACCACTTAGCCAACTGACTGGAAGAGATCTGTATTTGTTCCCATCCCAAAGAAAGGTGACCCAACAGAATGTGGAAACTATAGAACAATATCGGTGATTTCACATGTAAGCAAGATTCTACTGAAGATTATCCAAAAACGACTGGAACTGCACATCAGCAGAGAACTTCCATTAGTCCAGGCAGGGTTTAGAAGGAGTCGTGGTACTAGGGATATTGTAGCTAATGTCAGATGGATATTGGCTGAAAGCAGGGAATACCAGAGGAACGTCTATCTGTGCTTCATTGATTATGCAAAGGTGTTTGACTGTGTGGACCATAACAAACTGTGGCTGATTCTGAGAAGAATGGGAATACCAGAACACTTGATCATGCTAATGCGCAACTTATACTTGGACCAAGAGGGAATCATCAGAACAGAGCAGGGCAACACTGCATGGTTCAAAATTGGGAAGGCTGTACGCCAGGGATGTGTCCTGTCTCCATACCTTTTCAACCTGTATGCAGAACAGATCATCTGGGAGGCTGGGCTCTATGAGAAGAAAGGTGGCCTATCAACAATCTGCGTTATGCAGATGACACAACCCTGCTTGCTGAGACTGAGGAGGCCCTGAAGTGCTTGCTGCTGAGGGTCAAGGACTGCAGACTTCAATATGGATTGAGGCTCAATGTCAAGAAGACAAAGATTCTCACCACTGGACCAATTGGCAGCATCAGGATGGATGGTGAAGAGGTTGAGATAGAGATTGTTCACAGCTTTAGTCTGCTTGGCTCCACAATCAACACTCTTGGCACCAGCAGCCAGGAAATTAAAAGACGTATTGCGATGGGAAAGTCTGCTGTTAGGGACCTCTCTAAAGTACTCGAGAGCAATGGTGTGTCTCTGGAGACTAAGGTGACTCTGGTACAGGCCATGGTCTTTGCAGTCACTTGTTATGTGTCAGAGAGATGGACAATGATCAGGGAGGACAGAAGAAGAATTGATGCTTTTGAGCTTTGGTGTTGGAGAAGAGTGCTGAGGGTGCCATGGACTGCGAAGAAAACAAACTGATTCACCCTGGAGAGGGTTAAACCGGGCTGCTCCTTGGAGGTAAGGATTCTGAGGCTTCGTCTGACATACTTTGGTCATGTTGTAAGGAGAGACCGGTCCTTGGAGAAGGACATCATGCTTGGGAGGGTGGAGGGCAGGCGCAGGAGGGGAAAGCCCTCTGGGAGATGGATTGATTCGGTGAATGGGGCAATCGGGATGAGTGTGTCGGAGACAGTGAGATTGGCACGGAACAGAGCAGAGTTTAGAGCTGTTCAGAGTTGTACATAGGGTATATGATGAGTCGCAAGTGACTCGATGGCACATAACAACAACGACAACAAAAACCTGCTGGAGGGTGAGCTATGAGCTGGTTCTGACTCGACAACACACATCACCAACCCCCACCACCAACTCCCATAAGAGTGTTCCTGCAAAGTTCACTCTCTGTATGTTAATATCTCAAACTAAAAATTTAATCTTTTGATTGAAAGGGATTTTTCTCTTTCTTTACATTGGTTGATATATAAATATTGTTATTACTATTAGTTGCCTTAGAATTGGCAGGTGTCATGGCAAATCAGGCACAACTGAATGACATGCTGCCATTGCCAATGATAGGTTGTGGAGTGGGTGGTCCACAGGGTCTTTTCTGGCTGATCTTAGAAGTAGTCCAGACCTCCGGCCCTTCGTGTAGAAACTCCACTAAAATCCAGCAAGCATCACACAGCACATGAGCCTTCAAATGTATGGCTGGTGCCTATTCCCAGGGCGCCTTCCGGGAACTGGACCTGGGTCTCTTGCACCAAAGGGTAAACTCGATCCCTGGACAACTGCTGCCCTCAGATATGTGTAAACTTAAACATTTATTACAATACTTGGTGATAAATTTAGTCAAGCACTTACAGAAGAAAAACTCAGACAAGAAAACAGAAAAAGTAACAGAAAAGTAATGTTGTAACTTGGGGATTTCTATCATCTGTACCCTCAGCCTGCTCTAACCTGGGAGGACAGCCACTCTCCCTGCTCCCCCTCCTCCAGTGTCCTCTCAGCCGGCTGTAACATGGGAGGACAGTCTCTGGACCCTGCTCCCCATGAAGCCCAGTTAGCTGCTCTACAATCATCAAATGAGTGAATGAATACAATCTCTGAAGAAAGCCACCATGGTGATGAATGGCAAATAACAAAGGAACTTTTAGTAAGAGTTTTTGTAAATTAATCTTCATCACATTTAATGATACATCACAAGATTATAATTTACTACAATTATGCACATAATTACTGTTTATTCTCTTTCTTCAGCCAAACAGTTCTGTAGATCCTATACCTATATATCCACATGATTGTAAACATTAGATCTACATGTCTACCACCCTCTCCTCCATGTCATGGAGTCAGAATCAACTCATAGATGATCCTTCAGCTTGTTTTCAAAGGCCTGAAGTGGCATGGGAGAAGACTGGCCATCTCTCTTCCACAGAACAGCTGGTCAATAAAATGAGAAACAAAAGCACAAACTGTTATCTATGGGATCCATAAACACCTTAGCCACCACAGGGAGTAAAATCTGAGCTCTGCTTGATTCAGAAGTAACACAGGAACTATCTATGTGAAAGTTCAGAGTTTCTCCTTTCACCCTCCAAGTCCAGGCCCTTCTTAGCAGCGCTCAGGGTCTCTGGGCCCAGAACTGCATGGGTTGTCTTCACAAGTGCACTCGTGGGCCTGAGGCTTTCAGAGACTCCATAGTGTAGTAACCACACTCCTTGGTCCTGGAACTCTGGCTGTTCTCTAAACAGATGAAGAAAGACAACACAGAAATTTTGGCAATGTTCACATGGTGAATCGCAAGGGCAACTGTGTCTTAACACAGAATATTTGATCACTTTCAATTCTTCTTTTTTTATACTTTGTTCTGTTTGGTTTAAAGTATGGGTTTCTCATCATTGTATCTGCAGTTCTTCATTCTCTATTTTGACAGTCAACTTAGACGAAATGAAAAAGAAGACAGTGGCTTGACAACCTGCTGCATGAACGTCTTAGAGAAGGGTCAGGAAATGTAACCTTTTGAAAAGGCAAGCCAGACTGTCAGTAATCAGCAAGAAAGCGACCCAAGCACAGTGGAATGACACGCAGCTTGGCCCCGCACCACCCTCACAATCGCAGTGCGCTCCATTCTGTGCCATGGCTCCTGTGTGCTTTGAATGCCTTCCAAGTGAGAACATCTTCCCACACAGCACATGGCACTGCAGTCTACAGTACTCCATGGGGCTGTGTCAGTTCAGAAACCTCACTGAAGCCTTTTTACTGTGAGTGACCCTGTTTACACTGAGTGACACTTCTGGCATCTGAAATATGGGCAGCAGAGCCTCACCATAACAGCATGCAAGTCATTTCGGCAATCTGACAGGTAGAAGGCTCAGATGACTCCTGGCACACTGAAAACTGAGCTGTCTGTCAAGGTCATAAGTTTATGTTTCCATAAGCACTGGGCTGCCCTCTAATATTTAACTTTAAGATGTTTATCAAGAGACTGACTAGTCCCCTCTAGAGACCGTTCCCAATGAGCCTGGTGGAAGTGATTCTGGTCCATTTGCCTCCTCCCTGGGCCCTGAGCATCCAACTGAAGGTCCAGAAATCTCACAGAGCCTGAGCCAGGAAGCAGAGAAGCCCCACCTAATGAAGCAGAGACTTGTGCAAACAGACTACCTCCTTAAACACACTCCTTACCCTCTGTGGTGGGAAAGACAACCTTTGTGTACCGATGCTATCTCCCACCCAACTATGGGAAGGCCTCCCTCTGCTAATTTTTATGACTTCCGAGAAGAGTACTGAATGTTCCACGGACTGCCAAGAAAACAAACAGGTCCATCCTAGAGAGAGTTAAACCAGGCTACTCCTTGGAGGCAAGGATTCTGGGACTTCGTCTGACATACTTTGGACATGCTGTAAGGAGAGACAGGTCCTTGGAGAGGGACATCATGCTTGGTAGGGTGGAGGGACAGCGTAGGAGGGGAAGACCCTCTATGAGATG